AAACACAGTCAATGGTAGATCTGCCCCTTCGAAACCCATATTGAAGGGGTGGAATGCCACTGACTGATTCAAAGTAGTGTTCAAGGCACTACTAGCACTACTAGCATTTATGTATGAGACGTTCGACAACTTGCAGACAGCCGAGGTAAGAGAAATAGGTCTATACCCTTTGCCATTAGGTTTGGGCAAGAACACCACTCTGGTATCCCTCCAGCTGAGAGGAAAGCTACATGTTAAGAAGAAACAATTGAATAGAAGCAGAAGGTAATTTTTTGTTTTAGGAGAGAGATGATTGAGATGATTCGAAATGGAGTCTAAGCCAGGAGCAGTGTCCTTTTTGGAGTGTAACATAGCTAAATTGAATTCGGAGTTGGAAAAAGGCCCATTGAGGAGTTCATCCTCATTTATACCTGAAACAAACGCAAGATGAGAGCGTTTAATATTCTCTTGCGTTAATTCATTTTGGAGTTCTTTAAATTGTTGGGAGTTAGGATCATTGCTAATACCCGTACGTAACGGTTGAGTAGACGTGGCAAAAGCCTTAACTTTACCCCAATTTCCTTAGAACCCATGGAAGGGGATAGGGAATTGCAAAAGTCCGTAAAAGAGAGCTTCCTTTTTCTACAAAGGAAATGTTTAAATGTTTAAAAATGTTTAAAAATGAAATGTTTTTTTTCTATGAAAAATAGAAATGTTTAACTTCTTCATCTAATTTCTTAAATTTAATTCGATTTTCAGCAGTTTGTGAACTAAGAAACTCCTTCCGAGATGCTCTTCTCTTATCTGAAGCCCCATCACATTCGATGTCCCACCATAAGGGTTTCGATTTACGATTTCCAGGTAGACTCGAAGGGTTGTAGGCTCTAGATTCTCCAAGGGCTGCTTTAATTCTGTCAATGAGAAAGGCATATGCTGATTCCGGCTTTACAATGTTTAAAAGTTTGGCCTAGCATCGTAATATACTATTCCTGATGTTTAGTCCTACTTCTATACTGAGAGAAAAAACAAGGCTTTTCCCCGTGATTTCAATTCATGCCTTTTTCAGGTAGCAGTTTCACAGGATTTCCCGATGAATTTCATGTGTTGAGCGGTTATAGGCCACGCCTTAGCCCTTATTGTCCTAAGCTCGTTGCCAGAATCTCACCGGGAAAAACCGTGAGCGTCCTGCATTTATACTGTGATAATTTTCACGCGTTAAATGCATATTTTTTCATGGGGAAAACCCTTGTTATTTCTCTCCGTGTAGGTATGTAGGTATTTTTTTGTTTTGGTTTGTCGACAGCAATGTGATTCAATTTTTGGGAAAGATTCAATATGTTGTCGATATATAATACGAATAACACTGTTCGACAAAATTTTGTTACAAGAATAAAGGAAAGTGATTCTTACAGGATTTTCGACGTAGATTACGAATCTGTAAGTGAAAATGTCCCATCACGTCTCAATTTTGAGAAAAACGGGGTCAAAGTGCCAAAAAATGGCTTTTATGGCACTTTTTAAAGTACAATAAAAAAAGAACGCGACGTGATAAAAAGCTCAAATATGGCTTAAATGAGAGCTCAAACCCTCAACTTTAACATCCAAAAGTAAAAAACCATGTAGAAATAACTCAAAATTGTTGGGAACAACTTTTTACCGCATGCGCGTAAAACAGCTATTATTTTGGCGATATTTTAGCGGTTTTAGCGAAAAGTTGTTCCCCAAAATTTTGAATTATTTCTACATGGTTTTTTGCTTCTGGATGTTAAAGTTGAGGGTTTGAGTTCTCATTTAAGCCATATTTGAGCTTTTTATCACGTCGCGTTCTTTTTTTATAGTGCTTCAAAAAGTGCCATAAAAGCCATTTTTTGGCACTTTGACCCCGTTTTTCTCAAAATTGAGACGTGATGGGACAATTTCACTTACAGATTCGTAATCTACGTCAAAAATCCTGTAAGAATCACTTTCGTTTACTCTTGTAGCAAGAAAAAACCTTAATTTTGTCGACCAGTGTAATAATAAATAATAAGGTGATAATAATAATTACCAAAAATTATAGCTTGGAACATGTAGTTACTTTTCTCGTATGGCTTTTTTTAATCAAAAAATTTTATTAGACAATGTAGTAGCGTTCCGGTAAGAAGGCTTGAATAAAAAGGTATTAAAAATTATTTCATCATCAATAAAAAGACGAAAATTTTAAATACTTCTGAATTCCTTTTTTGTCCGCCAAATTTAATACTTCTTTTAAGTCAAATTCGTCTATAAAACGAATCCTTTTCAATGTCCAAAGTTTACAATATTAGAATGAATACTTTTTAATCACTTAAAGTGGAATAAATTTGTGATCTATTAATCCCTTTTAATTCCTTGTAAATCAAATGCTTGCTGGTGACAAAACAAAAATTAACCAATCAAAATCCAAGTTACTTGAGAAAAGGGGTGTTTACGAGATTCTCGCCCTAGGGCGCCCCAAGGCGACCAAAGGTTCTCAAAGTCACTTTTATTATTCTTTATTTATATGAAAACAAACGATAATAAAAGTGACTTTGAGAACCTTTGGTCGCCTCGGGGCGCCCTAGGGCGAGCATCTCGTAAACACCCAAGGATGGAAAAAGAAATGAATGTGGCTCATCTGTTCAAAGTGATTTCATTGACAGTTGTAATGTGCTCAAGCACATTTGTAACTGGTAATATAACTATAGCGTCAACCGCGATTGTCCACGTGCATATAATCGGGTGCAAATTACCAAAGTGCAAATAGAATCCCACATAGCACCGAGAATTTCTCTAAACTAGACAGGATCTCGCCCAGCGAGGTTATAAATATTGCGTGGTAAAAGTCATGAAGAATGTGAGGTTATTTAAATGTCCGTATAATAAGGAAATATTGAATATCAAACTTGAGCAAAAATTTTACTGTGAATAATAACTTGACATGTTCAGGCAATATTGTATCAATGTTGCATGCAATATTCGCCCAATTATTACATTTTCGTCTGCTAATATAAACTGAGCGATTTCCTGTCAAGTATCAAGAAATTTTTGGTGCTGTGTGATTTTTATGTAAATCACGTATAATGTAAAATTTGTATTAAAACTTTATTTAATTTTAATTATTACTTTCCTTTATTTTATACACTACACCTAACCTAAAATTATGTGCTTTTCAATTCCTTTCTTATACCTTGGTCCCCTTGGTCAACGTTTATGTGACGATATTAAAGGGAATTAAAAATATTTTATTTGTATACTTTTATTGGGAATTCGAAACTCAGGACAAAAAAAAATTAAAAGGAATTCAATTTTTTCAATACTTTTTAATGCAAGCCTTTTTACCGGGGTTATAAATAAATAAAGGCTAACAAACAAAATGAATAGTTTCTTTCTAAATTTTCAAATTTGATCAGATTCGATTAAAACTTGTTACTCGGAGGTTTTTGGGGTCGCTGATTAAAAATCTGAAGTCATTTTTAAAAAATCAAAAATGGCGGATCCAATATGGCGGATGAAATTCAAATTTGATCATATTCGCTTATAACTCGTAACTCGGGTGTTTTTAGGGTCGCTGACTACAAATCTGCAGTCACTTTTTAATACTTCAAAATAACGGATCCAATATGGCGGAAAAAATTTTCAAACTTAATGCGAATCCCTTAAAAAATTTGTTACTTGGAAGTTTTTGTGGTCGATGATTACGAATTTGAAGTCACTTTTTAGAAATTCAAAATGGAGACTCCAATATGTCGGACAAAATTTCAAATTTCATTAAATTTGTTTAAAACTTATTCGAGGGTTTATGGGATCGCGATCGCTGATTACGAATCTGAAGTCATTTTAAAGAAGTTCTAACTTCATAATGTTCTATAATGTGAATATTTTATTATTATTACAAGTTTCAAACGAATCGGATCAAATTTGAAATTTTTTTTGTTATATTGAATCCGACATGTTTAATTTCTAAAAAGTGACTTCAGATTTGTAATCAGCGATCCCAAAAACTCTTGAGTAACAAATTTTAAGGGAATCTGATTAAATGTGAAAATTTGTCCGACATATTTAGATCCGCCATAGTGAATTTCTAAAATGTGACTTCAGGATCGTAATCAATGACCCCAGAAACCCCCGAGTAACAAGTTTTAAGCGAATCTGATCAAATTTGAAAATTTTGAAAGAAACTATTCATTTTGTTTGTTAGCCTTTATTTATTTATAACGCTATATTGTCTTATAAAATTTTTTAATTAAAAAAAAGCCATACGCGAGAAAAGTAACTACATATTCCAAGCTATAATTTTAACATTCAATATTGACACAATTTTGAGATCAAATGTTATGTAATTTGGGAAGTTGCAAGCAAATGTAGAAATTTTTTATAAAATAATTATTTAATCCCTTTAAAGAGTGTTCCCTATAATCAAAATGCTAAAAGACCAGTACAAAAATATACGTTTTGAATATATTGTTCTGCTCAATTTCACGAAAATCAGCCATTAACGCTTGGGGAGTATGTATTACTAATCACGTAATTTTAACTATTCTTCGTTTCTGATGCATGACAGCTTTAAATATTACATAAACAAATGCTTTCAAAATGCATAATACCGAAAAAGACTATTGTGGGAAGTACACTTAACATAATAGTCTTTAAACTTAATGAATCGAACTGTTATTAAATTAATTCTGATGTTTTGATAAGCAAAGATTCTATTCTTTACTTAAAATTTTCTACTTTTTTCGAGCATCATCGAGAAATTTCGAAATATTTCGAGAGTTTTGACGACAGGTCTCTTTGTTAAGAATGGATTTAGCATCTCCATAGGTCTCTTATTCACATTTGGTATACACCGGTGCTCTAGATTCAATAGGATGATGAAAGGCTCCTTCCAGTATCTTTCATGAAATCGCAGAAAGAAAGGAAGACGGTTTGGCTCGACTTACTTCATGAACCATACAACTAGAGTTGGCACTTTCATTGTTGTTTGATCTCTTGAGTTTGTAGTCTACAAATAAAATAATAGTTTTCCCAAAAGAAATCAAATTTTAGTTCAAATTAGATAATATACATTTCTATTCAGAATTCATAAAAATATTTTCTGCAAATACTCACATAAGAGTATAACAAAATAATATTCAACAATTTAAAAACTATTTTTACCGGTAAAGTGATTAGTTTATTTTTTTGTAAAATACATAAATGTGACATAAATATCATATGAAAGGATATATATTCATATTAACCTGGATATTTTATCTTTTTTGATGTGAGTGAAATTCCATTTTCTTTTATGAAATACTGTTACTTTTGTGTGCATTGGTTAAAATATATTTATACTTATTCATTTTCTGCTCTATCACACTTTCTCTCTTTACAATGCAATACACGTTTCTTTTCTAGTTTATTATCTTATGAATCTTCCTCTCGTTAAGTGAATTGAAAGAATGTCTATTTATTATTATCATTATTATTGTTATAATAATAACTATTATTATAAATATTAATATTACTCTTATTATAATCTGAATAGATATTAAGGATCATAATGGTTAAGTGGTCTTATTAACATTTAAATGTTTAATTATATATCCAAACTTATACATAAAAAATGGTTCAACAAACTTATATTAAATTAGTATTAATATTAATGTTATTACTATTTTTTTGTGCATAGAGACTTTTGGAAAATATGCTTACAGATACCTGAATTCTGCATTTCGAGGCTATACAGGGTTGGTGTATAAATTATACTGGAGGATTGTAGTAACCAAAATCTAACGGAATAAATTTCTATTTTTTAAGTAAATTAATACTAAATAATTGATAAATGAAAGCAATTTATTATGAGCATGGATGATTAAGGATATCAAATATCCTTTCGATTTCAATATTCATAAGTCAGTAATCTAGATAATTAATGAACATAACTTCTGTTTTACATAAACTACCACTATACGGAGAGAAATTTGTTGCGAATAACTCATTGAGTAAATGTTATGAATACCAAAAACTATAAAAATTTCAACCTCCCACTTTTTTAAGTTTCACAACATAAATCTTTCCCATATCTGGTTAAAATTTGTTCAAAAATCCTTTTAAACAGAAAATTACAATCAACTCTATTAACCAGATACGAGAAAGATTTGTGTTGTGAAATTGTGACGTCATAATGATTCAAATATCCTTAACCAGATACCAGTAAAATTTGTGTTGTAAAACTGACATCATAATGGTTTAAATGTTCTTAATAAAAGTTTAGTTAGAAATAAATCAATTTATTTATTTACTTTTCAGTTTAATTTGTAGTATTTTTAATTTCGCTTTTAACTGTAAACGCAGGATATCCGCAGGAATGGAGAAAGTCGCACGTGCTTCGAAGATGAAGCGCTACCCTCGAAGGCTACAGTTAAAAGATGATTCCAAGGATGGATAAATGGTTACTAATAAAGGCTTACTGATTTCAGTTCGTTGGGGCTTGTACTTTTATTGCTTTCTCATAAAGGAAGTATCGTGTTGATAAAAATTTTTGATTGTAATTTTTTTATTTTAATATATATGTTTGTTGAACCATTTTATATATAAAAAATTAATTACCATGGATGTACCAACTGTCGTCCACTATTATTTTAATAATATTATAAATAAACTATTTGCATAGATACAATTAGGTAAGTTAAAAATTTTACTCCTAGACAGCAATATATAAATCTAGCTTTCGGAAGTGCACCCAAAATTTTAAAATAATTGAATTTTATTCGTTATTACATTTTTTATAATTAAATTATAAATGAATTTTCTTACAAATATACAAAATAATTTATTTTAATAAACAATTTCACTTCGAACATTCGTAAAGATAATCAAATTTAGAAAGAATTACTCTGAAAGTATTTAACAATAATCAAAATATGATTTAAAATTGTAAATTTCTTAATTAATTAAATTTCTTTCATCCACTTTTATTATTTGTGCAAAATTTTTTTCTTATTTAAATTTTCTTCAATATTAAATTGTACTTTTTTGTTCAAAATTTACATGTATATATTTTTTTATACAAGAAATATTAATCTTTATAAATTGTAGAACCTGACATTACTTTTCAAATTTATGGTACTAGATCAAATTCAAAAATTTTAGAAAACATGAAATTTGCCCTTATTGTGTGATTTCTTAAAAATCAATGTTATCTGTTGTTTACATTACCAAATACATTATGCTTCATTATGTGAATTTTAGGGTAACATAAAGGGCGGCAAGATAAAATTTAAATTTTCTAGAATAAAGCACATTTATAATTATTCAACATTATATACCTATATAGTGTTGCATTCGAGAATATCTTCATTCATCATCATAAAAGGAAAAAGACAATATCCATTAGTATTATAATAGGGTGATGTAACCAATTGTTGAGAAAATAGTGTGGTTCTACCCCAGTGGGCAGTACGATGTCTTAAAGATATCCTATAAGATATGAAAAATACGACCATAATTAGCGGTCCATAGGATGTTCTATGTCTGACCCAGAGACGGCTTTAAAATTTCTCTAGAATGTCCATTAGACATCCATGGACATATTTTAGACATTTTTAGTGTAAAATAAGAACATCTTTAGGACATGTTTGGGACGAACTGAGGACATGTTGAGGACATATACGAGACATTCTCTGGAGATGTTTAGAACGAGCTTTTAACACATTTGGAAATTTTGTTGAACATTTTAGGCATTCTAAACATCTCCAAAAAAGTGTCATCCTAAAGATGTTCTTAACTTTTCCTGAGAATGTAACAAACATTTCCTATAAATGTCCTCAGTGTGCCCTGATAATGTCCCACGCATGTCCTCAGAGAATGTCCAAACCATGTCCTAAAAATTTCCTGAGAATGTTCCAAATACTTCCTGAAAATATCTATATCACACATTTGGACATCTTCCGGACAGACATAGAATTTGATTAAGACGTCTTTAAGTCTGCCTTTAAGATATCTTCAGGATATGTTTTTTAAGACATTGTTAAGATATCTTTAGGATATTTTAAAAATGTTTTTTACAATGTTTCATTTGTAAAATTACAAACATAACATAACATTTTTTGCTTCCTAGGTACATTTTTCAGGAGTGCGTCACAATTGCATTATAATAATTATAATATAATTTATTTTTTAATATTGCAAAGCATAATATTACCTCAGTAGGCAATGTTCCTACTGGGCTGACATAATCGATGTTATAAGGCACTTCCGGGAAATTTTGTCACATAATATTGCACTCAAATGTTGTGCTATTTGGGCATGCATATTTATTCCTTATAGTACTTTATTGAAAAGTCAATATTTGCGTTATGTTATGCATTATGTTTATGGGGAAAAATGTCAAAGATCTTGACATTTGTTTGTGATATCTGAATTTTGAACATTTAAAAATGGATATTACCTACAATCAAATGTAATCTTTCCTAGTTTCACTATTCTGTCGTTGAAGAAAGAAAGACGCGTTCATGCTCTGTTTCAGCGGACAAATTCACCGAGTTTCTACAGGATATGTCTGCAGAGACATTTGAATATAGTGTCGCAGGGACATCAAGTTTATATCATGACACTCACATAACACTCTATTTTTGAAGAGTTTGCTGTAAATTTTACATAAAAATTTGCTCCTTTTTTTAAGTTTACAGGACATTTATCAAAATAATTGTAAAAAAAGACTTTGTATTTAGCTTGTGTGGTAAAAAATTAAAAATTTATTATCGTTTTAAAAGGTACTCAAAAATAAAACAACAATATGCAGCAGTGAAATTACTAAGTTATTTAATTTAGCTTCTCCGATATAAAATTTTTATAATTTTTTATCGACTTAAAGAGTTACTTACAAATTAATAAAAACAACAGTGATATTTATAACTTGCAAATTATTTTAATTAAAATTAATAATAAAAATAAAACGAAATGAAATCAAGAAGTTCATGTTGTAAAGAAATATAATGTGTGAAACTTATATGTTAAATTGTGGAACACGTGTAGTGGAATATAAATGATGTAATATGAAATAATAACTTCCTTTATGTGTTGTTTACTTTCAAAGGAAATGCTTCTCGGATTGTCTGCAATATTGTTTCTGACGATGACACCGATAGATTCGGTGCCACTGCCTGGAGGAAGTTACGATGAATGTGGAATCAGATTGGAAAGGGCGCTAGATGCTCTTCATCGAGAATCTATCAGAAAAAATAGACTCGATGACGATGACAACAGCGTCACATATCACCAGCAATTACAAACAGCACCTCTTGAAATGACAGTCTCTCGAGTTGCTGTAAAGGTACAAGAAAATTCAGATAAACAAAATTATGTTTTTTAAATTTAACTAAAAAGTCATCTGAAGTGAATAAAACATCTTTAAATATTAAAATCATTTAATTCAAACAATACCACTTATGAAAATCATTTTAATCAACATTATATTTAAAGAGTTTAAATTTTAAGTATTAATTAATCAATTAAAAATTAATTTTACTCCAACCAAGATAAAAATTTTAAACTATACTAAAAAATCTTTATTGGGGCATGGTAATAAATTTTATTTTTTAAAGGACCCCGCACAAAAAGTACATAATTTGGTTGCCGGTTAAATTTGTTTTGGAGTCTGGATGTATGTTCGAGTTACAGTAATTTGGAACAAATATAACCAATAAGGTCATGTTATTCAGTGGTCACGTGTTCCCATAGTAAAGTATATGGAGCACGTGACCACTAAATAACATGACCATAAGTATCAACAAATTTGACCGGGAACCAATTTAGGTACTTTTTGTGCGTCGTCCTTTTACTTTTGAAATATAAAGGATAAATTAAAATTTGAAACTTTTATAGATTATTTATACGATTTAGTGACGTAATTGTAAATTGACTAATAAATTAGTAAGAAATTACTAATGAAATAGTAATTTCTCCCTCCACAAATCACATTGAAAGGTTACTAATTCAATTAGTTAAAAAAAATAAGTATATCAATTAGTACATTTTACTAATAATTAGTGACTGACTTTTTGCTTTCTTAATTAGTAAGATTTTTTCTAACAATTAGATACTTTTAGCTAATTCAAATTTAAAGAGTTCTTAAGACTATTATTTAATTGCTTTTGCTTTAACTTAGAACCTGTACTTTTAGGACCGATTCTTCGATTAAAAATCCTTTGTCCGACAAAACAAACATCAGAAGGTATCAATAAATTTGTCTAAAATTCCACTACACTCGGTTATTGCAGTGTCACTTATGCGCCCAACATAGGCCTTTGAAATAAAGGAAATTGTTCCTTGCGGCGTTATTGCAAGCAAAACCTTAACCGTTTTATGGTGCTTATAATTGGACTAACTTTGGGCACTAGTTAATAGGTTAAAAGGAATTTCAAAGAAGACATCAAAACAGACAATAATGACAGCAACTTTGACATGCAGAAAACTCTCCTTAAAACACAATTAAAATACCTGGTAGCCAAGTACTTAAAATCTAAGTTTAATCTTAAACAAAAAAGTTATTAATGTTTTTTTATAAAAAAAAGTCCGATTTTTTTAAATTTTTGTTTAATTTTCAACTTTTTCTACTACGAAATAGCAGAAAAATAATTCTAAATGTTACAAATAACGTGAAATAAACATATATATGCTACAAGATAGGACTATAGAGAAAATTAAAAATTAAAATGGCTTCTCAAAAGTGGAGTCTGAAGTTCAAATTTTTATCTAAAAATTTACTCGAATGGACGAAATTGTTAAAAGTGTTTATATTAGCTTGAAACTTGTTACTCGGAGGTATTAAGGGTTGCTGATCACGAATCTGAAGTCCAATTTTAAAAATTCAAAATAGCGGATCCAATATGGCGGACAATTTTTCTAAACACTCATTAGATTCGCATTAACCCTTTAAGGCCCAAATGTGCTGATTTTTAACTTCGGTTTCAAGCTCATAATATTAAAAGGAAAAAATTATTAAAAATTCTACAAGGACATATCCATACGTTTTTAGGGTCGCTCTTTCGAATGGCATGGTCAAAATTTCCAAAAAGTGACGATTAACCCTTATTTTTTCAAAAATATTCAAAAAATACAAGATTTTGGAAAGTAAATTTTTTTCATATCCAATTTTAGTTGTCATATCGATTTTTCCAAATCATCTAAGGTATAAAAAACGTGTTCCCGATAGTTTTAGTTTAAAAATATGTTTTGCGTTTTAGATTTTTGGTATTTTTTGATTCAAAAAGGCGCCTGAAAATAAACAATTTTCCAAAATTTAACACAGGATGGATAAAATTTTCAAAAGTTCATGAAATCGATTAAAATTTGTTACTCGGGGGTTTCCAGGGTCGCTGATTACGAATCTAAAGTCAAATTTGAAAAATTCAAAATGTCAGATCCAATATGGCGGACGACAATATAAAAAATTAATCGTATTGGCTTCAAATTTGTTACTCAGGAGTTTTTGGGGTCGCTGATTACGAATCTGAAAACAGCTTTAAAAAATTCAAAATGGCGGCTCCAATATGGCGGACGACAAAATTAAAACTTTATATATTGGCTTCAAATTTGTTACTCGGGGGTTTTTTTTTGGGGTCGCTGATTACTAATCTGAAGTCAGATTTAAAAAATTAAAAATGGCGGCTCAGATTTTAGTCCTTTGTATATAAAATCATCAGAACAAAGTGTGATAAAAAAAATTATTTGGAGTTAAGAAAATGGTACTTAAAAATAGGTTTTTTTCAATGCAATTTCACAACTGCTCATGACCCCTTAACAAGGAATTAAAATCATGATCTGCCTCAGAAAAAATATCATCGGACTTACTCTCAGATTCAGCATCGCCATCATGCAAGTAATATTCGCCAGAATTATTAGCGGATAAAATTATGTTAGCATTGATATATTTTGTCGTCCACTATTTAAAATTTTGAAAATATGACTTTAGATTCGTAATCAGCGACCCCAAAAACCCCTGATAAACACTTTTTAAATCCAATACGATAAGTTTTTAATATTGTCGTCCGCCATATTGGATCCGCCATTTTGAATTTTTTAAATTTGACTCTAAATTCGTAATCAGCGACCCCGAAAACCCCCGAGTAACAAATTTCAATCGATTTCATGAACTTTTGAAAATTGTATCCATCCTGTGTTAAATTTTGGAAAATTGTTTATTTTCAGGCGCCATTTTGAAACAAATAATACCAAAAATCTTAAAACCCAAAGCATATTTTAAAACTAAAACTATCGGGAATATGTTTTTTATACCTTAGATTATTTAGAAAAATCGATATGACAACTAAAGAGCGACCTTAAAAACATATGGATATGTCCTTGTAGAATTTATAATAATTTTGTCCTTTTAATATTATGAGCTTGAAACCGATGTTAAAAATCAGCACATTTGGGCGTTAAAGGGTTAAACTTGTTACTCGGGGGTTTTGGGTTTTTTTTGGGGGGTCGCTAATTATGAATCTGAAATTGAATTTTCAAAATTCAAAATGGCGGATCCAATATGGCAGACAAATTTTCAAAAACTCATTAGATTCGTTTGAAACTTGATACTCGGGGGTTTTTGGGGTCACTGATCACGAATCTGAAGTCCAATTTTTCAAAATTCATAATGGCGGATCCAGTATGGCGAATAATTTTTCTAAAAAGTCATTAGATTCGCTTGAAACTTTTTACTTGGAGGTTTATGGGGTTGCTGATTACGAATCTGAAAATCAATTTTCAAAATCCAAAATGGCGGACCCAATATGGTTGACAAATTTTCAAAAACTCATTAGATTCGTTTGAAACTTGTTACTCGGGGGTTTTTGGGGTCGCTGATCAAGAATCTGAAGTCCAATTTTTCAAAATTCATAATGGCGGATCCAGTATGGCGAATAATTTTTCTAAAAAGTCATTAGATTCGCTTGAAACTTTTTACTTGGAGGTTTATGGGGTTGCTGATTACGAATCTGAAAATCAATTTTCAAAATCCAAAATGGCGGACCCAATATGGTTGACAAATTTTCAAAAACTCATTAGATTCGTTTGAAACTTGTTACTCGGGGGTTTTTGGGGTCGCTGATCAAGAATCTGAAGTCCAATTTTCAAAATTCGTAATGGCAGATCCAATTTGGCGGATAATTTTACTAAACCATTTTATTATTTCTGTATTTGTTTTCATTTTTTTATAATATATATTTAAATTTAAATCTCGAAAAATCTAAATTTAAATGCTTTGTTTTAATCATTAGTTATGTTTGTTTTTTTGTTTTTTTAAGATTTAAATCTAAATATTATAAATTAAAAAAATAAAAAAAAACATTAAACAAAAAATTAAAAAAAATACTTTCCAGAACGAATTTAAACATTTTAATGACTAAAGAACGTGATTAACGATTTTGAACGAACCGATGAGTTTTTATCTGAAAATTCGTCGGCCATATTGGATCCGCCATTCTGAATTTTGAAAATTGTCCATTACATTCGTCATGAGCAAACCAAAAAAACCCCAAGTAACAAGTTTCAAGCTAATCTAATGAGTTTTTAGAAAAATTATCCGCCATACTGGATCCGCCATTATGAATTTTGAAAATTGGACTTCAGATTCGTGATCAGTGACCCCAAAAACCCCCGAATAACAAGTTTCAAGCTAATCTAAACACTTTTAACAATTTCGTTCATTCGAGTAAATTTTTTAAAAAAAATTTGAACTTCAGACTCCACTTTTGAGCAGCCATTTTAATTTTCTCTATAGTCCTATTTTGTAGCATATATATTTATGTCACGTTATTTGTAACATTTAGAATTATTTTTCTGCTATTTCGTGGTAGAAAAAGTTGAAAGATAAACAAAAATTTGAAAAAAGTCGGACTTTTTTATACACGGAGAGACCGAGATTACTAATTTTTGTATAAAATCACACTAGAATTTACTATTTTCACATTGCAACCACCGGAAATAAGGGGACTTTTTGTATTTTTTACTATTTTCTACACTAAGTCACTAATCCCGACAAATGTTCACCAAATTAGCAAAGTTTCTTACTATTTCGTCCAATAGTTCCAAATAACTGTAGTAAACTCAGAAGCATTGTGTACGTAAAATTACTACAGTCGTTTGTAAATGCAGAAAGAAAGAGTGAAAGAAAAAATACGGATTTTTGTCGCCGGTTTCCCGTCAATTCTTGACTAATGGAGACAAACTGGAAGGATTTTTACATACACAGACACACACGCACACACACTTATATATTTGTTGGATAAATATTTGAAGACACACACATGTTTATTTCACTTATATGTATAGACGCGG